TAATTGAATCCGTCACCTTGTATATAATATCTTCGCTCTCAATAATTACATATGTGTAGGATGAACCAAATCATTGAATTTTATTTTTCCATTAAAAGCGTCTCGTACATGTTTTGCAGTATCCCTTGTAAATACTCCGCCGGTATGAAAAGTTCTTAATGTTAGTTGAGTTCCCTATCGTAATACTATAACGAATGAAACAATATATGCTTTTGATTTCACAATCTATAAGATTTTGAACTTACCATTAAAACTACTGCACTTTTTAATAGTGTCTTTGAGTTCCAACATGATATTTACAATAAAACATTTAACTGTACCATATTAGCTACACTTTTTGATAGGGTGTCTTTGAGATCCAACATGATATTTACAATAAAAGATTTCATTGTACCATATTAGATATGAAGCAAATTGAGGTTTAACATAACGTGGTGTAATCAATCAAGCATCAAACAACTAATATAGCTCAATATATAAGAAAGGAAAGAGTTCAAATAGAGAATATTTGGATTTCACCTTCTTATGTTATTTTTTTTTGCTCGGCAAAATAATAATTTATTAAAGACGAACCGAACCGAACCGAACCAAATTGCTTGACTCGTTAAAAACCTCCCTAAACCTAGATGGACGAAAAGAGTACATACAGTTTGGGTAAAACAAGACATGCAAATACAAATAGAAAAAAAAAAACTCAAACAACAAATCCACCAACAAAACTAACCAAACTCAACCTGAGCAACACTCACCACCCCAACAGATATGGAACACGCAACACACAACATCTACGATACAAATACATCAAAAGACACCTCATCCAAAATCCTAAACCAAGCCAGCAACAACAATACAACAACTCGTTTAAAAAACCAGAGCACAACCAGTCAACATTTGCACCAAAACACTTTACTCGACCATAGCTAACAGCAGTAAAACAAGACAGATGAAGCCGAAGAAGCCACCCTTCACCATGCAACACAAGAAGGACCTACTCTACCAAAAGTTTCGGCTTCTAGACCACCTTTATATCAAAATTAACCAATCTAACTTTGCAAAAAAGAACCACCAAAACGATGCTCTGATAACAAAAACATAGATGAAACATCACCAAACCTTCATAACGGACCAGTTGAGTACAAACCACCCACACCAACCATCAAAACATAAGGCAAAAGTTCACTTCACTTTCCCATCTCAAAAAACACTTGAGAGCCTAATTCTAGAAAAAGCAACACCATTATCCTTTACTTGGCTAACAATTTTTTCACAAGAATTTCAATATCATTTCTTTAACGCACCATTGTGCCTCCTTCTAAGAAACTACCAAATTGATTAATAGAATGACTCCTACAGAAAGGTTCCTTCATTACAACCAAACTCTCATCTTTAAAGTACTATGCAAACCTGAAAATGACTAAAATTATGCACGCCTCAAATCGAACAATAGTTGCAACTTGGGTGGAAAGAAATACTTCAAAGAATACTCCCACACAAACTCATATTAACCCGACAAACTACACAGAGACTATATAAGGAACACCCTTACCAAACATAAGCACAACACCTTGAAACCAGTGTTTTAAAAGGCGCAAGACACCCTAAGGCGATTAGTTACTCGAGAGCCTCAATTTTTGAGGCGCTTTAAGGCGAGGGATTCACGTACGCGAGGAGCTTAATTTTACAAAACATTTGTAAATATTTTATAACCATACCTCAATCACAAAACAACTTAATAATTAACTTAATAAGCAAAAACACCAAGTAGCATATGTCATATTGTATCTCAAAAAGACAAATAAAAAACATCATCAATAATCAAAATGCCTAAAACTCATCTTCATCATCATCTTCATCAACATCAATCCCAAGCACCTCCTCGTCCCCATCATCTTCGGAAAGTCCAATATCTTGTTTTATCTTTTCGTCGTCTTCATCAATCAAATTTAGTCCAATAGAGGGCCTTCTATGAGTGGAGGTTTGGGCAACACCCTTTCCTCTATCTCTTGAGTTTGAACTTCAAATTGATTAAAAGAATCATTATTATGAATTTAAAATTTTAAAAAAAAAAATTCATGTAAATTAAATAATTCAACTTGAATTTGAGTTTGAATAACTAAGCAAATGTAAAGTTTAAATGCTAAAAATGCACATTTCCTTGAGAAAAAAAACCTCAAAACTAAGGTTGATGACATGGCAGGAAGTGATAGGTTGTAAAGAGAGAGGAGATAGGATATATCATTCATCCCACAGGAAATATAAAAGGATAAGCATATCCATACTTTAGAAGTGAAAATGAATAGCAGTATTCTCCAATCCCTTGCTTCAAAATCACCTCTACCAACCAACCCTCTTCTTCTGAAACCCTCATCTTCGCCAACATGTAATTACCTACCTTTTCCTCTCCGTCGCCGACGGTTTCCCAAAGTTTATTGTACCAACAGCAGCGCTAATAATAACAATGAGGTCGTAGAACCACCAGTTCCACCGCCGTCAGATACTCTTCAAATCCAGTTCAAAAGAGGGTCAAGAAGGTGTCAACAGCTCCGGGAAGAAGGTGTCCGGGGAGAAGGGCAAAGGATGAACTCAAAGGCTGCAGTTGAAGCAGCTCCGAAGAAATGGGAGGAAATGAGCATGACAGAGAAGGCTTTAAAGTTGTACATTGGAGAGAAGGGTTTGCTGTTCTGGCTCAACAAGTTTGTGTATGCTTCGATTTTCATCGTAATCGGGGCTTGGATAGTTTTCCGGTTTGTTGGACCTGCTCTCAATCTTTACCAACTTGATTCTCCTCCTCTTGCTCCCACCTCCATGTTCAACGGTTCTTGATCCATACCACACTGATATCCATATGTCTGAAATGGGTCATTGTACGTGAATCGCTAAAAACATCGCCTCTTGCCTCCTCCGACGACTGAATCGCCGCGTCATGTACTCGCCGTCGCCTTGGTGGTCGGAGACTTTCTTCTAAACGCCTCGCCTAACGCCTCAGGCGCGCTTTTTAAAACACAGCTTGAAACACCATATGCTTTAAAACACGGACCCAAAACAACAACAAAAATTCACCCATAATGCATCATTGGGACAGAACCACCTCTATAGCATATTCGAGTGGCATAATATAAAGGACACCACAAGATGCAAAACTCACCAGAGGACCTAAAAACAACCTATCCCTTACAAAATTATAAGAGCAAACTCATCAACAAATACACTACTCTTATTACTTCCTCTCCAATCGAAACATTATTAAATGTTTGAATATACTCTCCTCAAAACTTAGAAAGTTCCTCACTCCCTTCTCAATTAATTCCTTTACAGCAATCCCCAAACCACTCAAGAAAACAAAACACAAGCTTCAAGAAAATCTCCTTTCAACCAAACGAAACGAAATAAAGAAAAGAATTAAGCCTACATACCCTACTGTTCTGCTTCTACCAACAACGCAATATCTCAAATCACCTCTTGTTTATTACCATGAAATTCAATTCCAAGTTCTTTCCCTAGCTTAAGAGTCATTCTAGCTTCCTTAGTAAACACATTCCATCTAGCCTGCATATCTGAGTCGGAAAGGGATCCAACTTCAAGTTCTGAAATCTCCAGTGAAATATCAGGATCCTTTTTTTCTTTAATCTTTTAATTGCTATGTTTCTCTTCTTCTTCTCCACTGCAGAAATGTATTTGTCCTGAAAAGCTCAAAGTGACTCGTATCTTCTCACCCTGACTGATTTTGAAGAATTTAGAGTTTTCATAAACTTCAATCTGGAAGAATTGTCGTTGGGGCGCTTGGATTCATTTGACTCTACTGTGATATTAACTCCATCCTCTAAATTCTTTTACCCAACATTATTAAGTTTATCCACTCATTCAGCCCAATTATGAGATGGACCTTCAGATATTTCTATTTGGTCTTCCAAGTTCCAACACATTAACCATTTCATTCTTCTTAAAGTCCAAGCCAATCAAGTCTTCCTGGATCTTTTTCTGATATGCTTCTAGACTTACGATGGGCCGAACCAGCTCACAATCACCTGGACTCTTTACAACATTAGTCAACACTTTTAAGGTGCACGAATTTCCCTCTAGGTAAACCTTTGAATAACTTGTACCATTCATAGCCCCCAAAAGTTTCAACCACCTCTCCATCAGATTTTTGACTTTTCAAATTTATCACAAAGGAGGGCACCACAACTCTATCGCCCTCCATTTTCGATTCCCCAAGAGACCTATTATAAGAAACAACATAATTATTATAGTCTTTTCCCGTGCCTATTACATTAAATGCTTTAACTTTCTCAAAAATGGTGCCCTCCGTACTAATCAAGTTCTTCATCTGACCCGTGATCGGCGATTTCTCTGACAAGTTCTCTTTTTCCTCTAATCTAGGTTTCTAAAGATCTTGTGGCTGAACGTTTGATAATGGATTATTCAACTGAAACGAGTCTTCTGATCTTTTTCTGAAGCCGACGATCCCTCCCCAATGCTCTCCATTCTTTTATACCACTGTTCTCTTTGGTTTATCACTGACGATCTTACATACCTTTCTTCCTGAACACGAACTTTGAAGATATCTCGCCCAACCTCAAGTTCAATGATTTCCTCAATTCTCTTAATTTGATTTGTTGAGATTAATAAAGTTACCTTCTCGAAATCCATGGATGGGTTAACAGTGGCTCCCAGAGCTTCTAAAGAACCCCATAAATTTATTATTGTCCTGAATGTTGTGTAATTCTAGCAATGTAGGGGAATGCCAGTCACTTCCACCCAAATTGATCTTTTAGGGACTACTATTGTTTTTCAAGCATCTCTTTTAGTTCGTCATAATTGATCTCAATTAAGAACCATCTACCCCCTAGACCCTTTACTATTAAGTCACCCAGACCCTATTGGTGCAGTATGATTTTTACCTCTTCTAAGTTACAGTCCGTAGCCATTAATCTCACTAAGCACTTGTTTAACTTGAAAATTTTGGAGAAATATCAAAAGATCCTTTGGGACCATTTTCCTTAGCCCTCGGGATTAAGAGATCCTCCTGGTCTGATGGATTCCCTCTTCCAGTACGACTTCCTCCCCTTGAAACTAGCTAAATTAACATGAATCCTTAAACCATATAACTTCAAACCATCCAGCCTTTCAATAGCTCTGTAAGCGTCTTCTATATTGGAAAATCTCACGAAACCAAATCTGTTTCCAAACCTGTCCACCTTTCTTGCGATAAAAGAATCCACTACATCGCCTTGCCTACCAAAAACATAACGTAAACTACCCCAATGGAGGTTTGGTGGTAGATTACTCACAAATAAAGTAATCATTGAAGATGATCTTTCGCCGCTGGACATCCTGCCTTCTCGCTCTCACCTATCACCTTTGAATGTCCTTTCCATTTTAACTCGGTTTTTTAGCCTGGACCAAGCTGTATTTATTTTTGTTTTCTTATGTTATTTGGAGCCATCATGAGAACCTAATACGGGGCTAGCTTGTGATAGATGATGTTTTTTAGATTGGAGTTGAAGATTCATATCCTAATCTAGATGGAATGAATGTTGCGAAGGGCTAAAGAATTGCTTTGCAAGAGCTTCACTGTGATTTTCCTTCTTTTTTTCTGTAGACTGGGTTCTTTGGTATGTGTCGAGATTTTAGGGAATTTAGGTTTTCTTTTTTTTTTTTGAAGCATCACAATCATTATGTGATGACACTATTATACTCATCAGCTTGGTTATTTGCTCTCTTGATTCAATTTGAATTTTCTTTGTTTGATCACTCATCTCATATTATATTCTAACCAACTTCTCCTAATAGTATCTATGTTTTATTTATCCATATTTTGTTTTTTGAAAAAGGGTACTTTGTATTAAGAGGAACAAAGTAAACCACATGACTTGTTAAAAAACCTCTCTAATCCTAAATGGAAGAAAAAGAGTGCACCTTGAGGTGGTAAGAACATAGAACACATAAACTCTTATAACATACACACCAAACCCCATCCCTACAATAATCCCCAAACCAGTACATAAAAAAACCTCAACAACACCCAAAACATGAAACGAAGAACCAACACTAGAACATAGAGAAGCATACGAACTGGAGCAGACGCAACGAGCAATGAGTTAATGGAGATGCACCAAAAAATAGTCGTTGGCAACCACCCGTACAAAGTTTGATCTAAACCCAAAACAATAGTTTATAAATCCGAAAGCTCAATCTGCTCCAAACTTTACAACACCATCACTTCCATCTTTCCTCAAATATGATAAGGACAATAATTTTTTTACTTCCGAAATCTATTTCATATAATCTTTCATGAATTATTTTTAATGTTTTTATGATTAATGCATATAAAAGTATTTAAATAAATTAATGTAGTGTATATTCAAATTAAAATGCAAAACGTATTAATTTCAAAAGTGGCTCCCATAGAATAACCTGCATTAGTAAATAAGGTTTCATTATATTAGATAGCCAAGTTTTGCAAATAAAGACAAACTTCAGTATATTAATTTCTTGATCAAACTAGTATCTATGAGAACATCTTGATCTTGGTGCCTTTCAAGGGAGTCTTCCATTGTCTTTGGGTTCCTTATTTCATTGATTGACTTTCTTTGTAGATAATTGAAACATCTTCATGCACTTAAATTTTGACTATCCAATTAAGAAACTCTTGTTTTATTATGAAAACCTTCTAATATTGGTGAACACTTGTGAAATAACACTATTTTATGTTATGAAAATGTAATACAAAAGAGGTAAAATAAAATAAAATGAATTAGTACATATAGAATGATCAACAAAATAATAAGAGGGATATTATTGAAGTATAAAATCTACCCACACATGTTGTTGACCCAACATAATTTATTTTAAAAATATATCATATCCACATGCTTTCTACTCAACATATTATATTCGAAAATAAATCTAATATATAAATTTAAGACAAAGGGAAAATGTTAGATTTATTTAACCTTTTTGTACTTATTTAGACAGCCATTAACGAATAAGAGTTAAGTATGACTCTAAATTAGGTGGGCTCTTACAGCTTATAACATGAGGTTTCGGTTCTTAGAGAAAGTACCCAAATTATACTTATCGCTGCCTAATAAGGCCAATAAAGCCTTCAATCATCATTCATTACAGGCTCATAAGAACTAAAGTTCAACTCAAGTGCAACACCCGACCCATCGTAAGTCGAGGTGTCACTATATGGTGATTACTACATATTCTTTTTCATCAAACATGACTCGATTTATCGTGACCACATAAATTATTGTAAATAAATACTTAAAAAATAATAAAATAAATAATTTTAAAATGATTTCCATTAAAGAATCCAGAAATGTACTCTGACAACAGGTGTTGAGGTTACACTGTGATGACGCTCCGAGGTTAATATCTACAGTTGATATCCTTAGGAGAAAACAATTAAAAATATAATGAGCTACTATGCCTAGTAATGAACAAATGTTCTACCAGTTCATATGAAATAACTACCACCAAAATTATAAGAGTGGAATTAGCCAAGGATCTATCATCCATTTCCATTGACTTGAGAATAATATAATCATTATGATTAGGTACACCCGTGAGAGATGCCCTAATCTTCGAGGCTCCCGTGCGAGACACCCAGAATAATTATGATTAGGTGTTTATGTGCGAGTAACTCTCTGGAAGCCTTTTCTGTTCTTTATTTGTCAAGGTGGTTCTTTGCTTCCAAGTTGTCTGCATGCGTATCATTATTTCTAGGTTGCTTTTATCTTTTTTAGTCTTTTATAATTTGTCTTTAGCAGGTTTTTTGTCTTCATCAATGCTCTTTTATGGTGGTGTTTGCTTAGTTTTGTGTTGTTTGTTCTTTATCGAGCTGCTTTTTGTTGTGTCTGGGATTGGCTTTGCACGGCCACAGTGTCATTTTGGTTTGGGGTATTTGTAGTAATTGCGTCGTTGGTTCAGTGTTGTTCCTCCCCTAGTTAAGAGTACTACTTTTCTCCATTTAGGTGTAGGGAGGTTTTTAACGAGGCTCTTAACCTAGGTTTATTCAATAAATTTTTATTGTCGAGCAAAAAAAAAAACTCTAATCCTTCGGGGCTTTCGTGCGAAACACCTAGAATAAATATGATCAGGTGCTCTCGTGTGAGTCACTCTATTCATTTGGGGCTCCCTGAGAGACACTCGAAATAAATATGATTAGGTGCAGTCACTCTAATCCTTCGAGGTTCTCATACGAGACACCCAAAATAAATATTAAGTGTTCCCGTGTAAGTCACTCTAATTCTTCTGGGTTCCCGTGTGACACTCGATAATAAATATGATTAGTCATTTAATTACATGCACACAAACAAACACACAAATATCGAACAACCTCTAATTTCCTTTTTTTTTCTTATTCAATTTGTTTTCCCCAACATTATTGGTTTTCCTCTTTTCATTTTTATATTGATATATGTTTAGCTTTCAAAGTACATAGTATGATAATCATATAAGAGTATCGATACCATACTGAACAAGTATCAATACCATTATGAGTACCAATACACAATGACTTATTGGAATTCAAAATTTCAAAGATCTCCATAGAGTATCAATACTATCAACTTGGATATTGATACTCACCCTACAATATTGATACTTTACACACAATATCACTATTGTTCTTATATTTTCACTCAATTTCTATAGAAATCTTAGGGTATCAATACTGTTCTAACAATGTCAGTACTCGAACCCATATTCACACTATTTCCAGGCTTGAATTCTTCCTAAGTTTTTCAAAATCCATCCATCCGTGGTTAACTCAAGAAAAGGATGAAAATTTAACTAATATTACCTAGTTATTACATACAAAGCATAAAGAACAATGGTTTATTACCTTCAACAAAAACTATGGCAGAGAACTCCCTCATTTTAAGTCTTCACACCTTCTTGTTGCCTTTGAAATTTGAGGGTCCTCCAACTTCTTTCTCTAAAATGGAAAACTATTAGCCCAAAAGAAAAGTATTATGAAAATCACACATGAACTCATTATCTCTCAAATAACCCTAACCGCCCCATTTTAGCTTTCACAGTTCAAACAACCCTTTCTCCCAACTACACGTATTATAATTGAAATCCTCGACAAAGTTTACCATGTTCCAGTCTTTAAAGATATAAAAGTCTTGATGGTAAGAGAACAAAGAGAAGAAGAAGAAAGATATATGTGAACCAAAAGAAAAAAGCTCTCCCCCTTTTCACGGCACTTACCCAACTTATGGGAAGAAATCTAGCTACCTACAACTAAAGGGATAATTTCCTAACAAGTCATCTTATTTTTATGTTCTCAAATTTCACTCTGTTGGGCTTATAAAACTTGGGTCTCAGCCCAATTAAATATGCCTATATCTATCTTTGATAACTTGATCCCATAAATACTAAATTCAAATTTGACTCTTTTATCGCCCATTACAATTCTTCCCCACTACGAAAATTTTGTGCTCGAAATTTATCTGGGTCAAATAAATGTTAATATTGAAGCTGTATCGCCTCATCGGTTTCCCAAATAGCTTCTTCAATCTCGTGGTTTCTCCATAATAATTTCACCAAAGGAATGTGTTTATATCTTAATTCTTTAACTTTTTGAGCTAATATCTGAACTGATTCTTCCTCGTAAGTAAGGTTGGTGTCCACTTCAATCTGCTCTAAGGGTACAATATGAGGGATCAAATCGATATCTTATCAACATCGATAAATGGAAAATGTTATGAATCCTTTCTAGTTATGGAAGTTGTGCCAGTCGGTAAGCTATTGGTCCAATTCTCTCTAGGACTTGATAAGGTCCGATGAGACGTGAGCTCAATTTACCTTTATGTATAAACCTCAATATTTTATTCCACAAAGATACCTTAAAAAAAACATTGTTACCCATTTCAAATTCTATATCCTTTAGCTTAAGATCTGCATAAGACTTTTGTCGGTCGAAAGCTACTCATATTCTGTCTTGAACGATTCTAACTTTTTCTTCGATCTCTTGAATCAGGTCTGGGCCTACAATTTTTATTTCATGTAATTCTATCCAACACAATGGTGTTATGCATTTCCTCCCATACAACGCTTCTAACGGGGTCATCTGAATGCTGGCTTGATAGCTATTATTGACGTAAATTCCACCAATGGCATGAAATGTTCCCAATTTCGTTCGAAATCAATTACACAACATCTAAGCATATCCTCTGATGTCTGAATAATGTGTTTTGACTTCCATCGATTTACGAATGAAAAGCTATACGAGAGTGTAGTTTTGTTCCAAAGGCTTCATGAAGCTTTTTCCAAAACCTTGAAGTGAAACGGGGTCACTGTCTGAAATAATTGAGGT